CCCCCGCTCCCTCCCCCCCCCCAAGGGTGAGAAGTTCCTGGACAGCCTGGACGACCTGGCCACACCCGGCATAGAGCTCATTGACGGCAGCGGGGTCTGGGGGCCGCGGCCGCCGGCGCAGGGGCTGCCGGCCCTCAAGATGTGGATGGCCTCCTGGCTGCAGGCCTACGACACCGTCAGCGCCGCAGCCACGGGCAGCGCGGCCACGCCCCTCAGCAACAAGGTGGGCCGGTCTGGGGCGCGGCAGGGCCGAAGCGGCTGACAGCTGCTCTGCTTGCGCCGGCTCGACTGTACCACCACCCCAAACATGGTTGCAACCGTGCATCCTGCCACGATCCTTGTGCCGCACCACGCCTGCAGGTGTTCCTATGCTTCCGCCTGCTGCTGTCCGGCCCCACGCGGCTGCGGCGGCACCGCGCGGCCCCGCCGCTGTTCCTCCACCCCACGTCTGTCCCCAGCCCCGGGGGTGTGTCTGACGTGGAGGGCTGCCTGCTGTACGTGTTCAACATCAACGGCTTCATCACGCACCTCGTGGCCTGGCGCAACGGCACGCCGGACGAGATGAGCCGGGCCTTCATCGGCGGCCGCTCCGCGCCGCAGCCGCGGCCCCCGGAGCACGGTGGCGGCGGCAAGGGCACGGGGGGAAGCAGGGGCGGCAAGCGCGCCGACGCAAACGTGGGGGTAAGGGCGGCTTCAGGGGATGTTGCAGGGGCCAAGGGCGTTTGGTGGTGACAGGCGGCGGCTGCGGCAGCTGCCAGGGGCAGGCGCCGCTGGCAATCGTGGGGGTGGTGATCCTCCTCATCTCATGTCCGAAGACCTGCGCTGCGTGCCGTGCGTCGGCCTTCGCTCTTCAGGAGCTGCATGCCGCTACACCATACCAGCTCCTCTTTCTGTTGCATTTACTGTGCCACATCCGTCAATCGTTGCGTCTTGTCTGACATGTCTTCAAACTTGTTTCGACAATCACAAATTCCAATTTTTGTTGCACAGCCAACACAAGTGGTAACAGCAAACACGACAGCGCGAGTCAGTCAGTGGTCAAACTTCACAGTGTACAGAGACGGTTGATTGGGCCAACACACAGACACCACCACAAAACTGGGAGCCACACACGCAGCCAAAGCTCCAAAACCCCACCAGCAACGCCATCATACGAACCACTCATGCCCGTCAGCGCTGCCCTGAGCCGACAGACGCACCCGCAGCCGCTGTCGCCGGGGCGCCGCCCTCCATCACAGCCAGCTCAGCCGCTACCGCCGCCCCAACCGCCGCATTGTTCTTGACGAGCGCTATGTTGGCCGCCAGGCTGCGGCCCCCGGTTGTCGTGCGGATGCGCTCCAGGAGAAACGGGGTCACCTGCGGGTTGAAGGCAGGGCCGTAGCAGGAACAGGGTGCAAGCCGCAAGGCCCCTGGGGTCAGGCTCGCAATGGGATGCCTTGGTGGGCGTGTGGACCGCACCTACCCAGTGCTCCCCAGAAGGAGAGGTGTGCGGATGAGCTCAACCAGCCAAGAGTTTACAGCACCAGCCAACCCACAGCGCAAGCGCATAGTCAAGCCCAACTCTGCAACCCCCCTTTGCAGCCCAAGCACCCACGATCCCGCAACGCGCCGCCTGTCGCCGCGCACCTCCGCACCCCTGACGCCCCTGCCCTCAACCTCTGCCAGCGCCGCCGCGATGGCGCCCTCCACCAGCTCCCCCTCCGCCTCACACTCCGCGGGGATGGGCACCGCCAGCACCATGCCGCCACCCAGGCGCAGGTCAAGGGACGCCTTGACCATGGCCGCCGCGCTGCGGGCCGCAGACCAAGCGGCGACGTCAGGGGGTGGCACAGGTGTCACCTCGCAAGCATGTGATGACACCAAGCGGCGACTGTGCCACATTTTTGCTGTCCTGCCACGCTGCGTGTGAAACCCTGCTGTGACCGCAGCAGGCAACGCCCCCGCACCCCTGCGGCGCGCTCACTCCCTCGGCGTGTCGACCCTGGCAGGCGCCCTGCAGCCGCTGCGGCGCGTGAAGAACGCTGGCAGCTCGTCTGTGCCGTAGGCCGCCACTGTGACGCCCTGGGTCTCCAGGAACTCCAGGGTGCGGGGTATGTCCAGGACCTGCGGGTAGGTGGGGGAGAGGGGGTGGGCCGGAGCGACTGGAGTGGGTGGGTGGTGAAGTTTTACAGTGGGGCGGGG